TTTTTTTTTAAGTTAAACAATGTATGATATTTGTATTTTTAATTAATGAAATATTATCTTTTTAAAATTATGTTTTTTTTGTTAAAAAAGAAGTTTTATAAAATTAAAATAGTTAAAAAAAACAAAAAAAAGAAAAGAAAATAAAAGTGTGGCATCACTCCCTTGGTGTGGCAAGAAACCACACTAGTGTGGTAAAAAATGACGTGGCGCTTATGTGGCGGTGAAGGGAGTGCGGTTTCGGTGACACCACTCCCTCCAGCCTAAGCCGATTGGGTCTGTCTACTTTGAGGTTAACCCTCACGACTTGACAAACCGTGTCTTGCATTATGAGATATAAACTCATCTCCTCTTCTTGTGAGCAATGTAGGACAAGGAATATGAATACACCAAACATATCAAATCAATTTAAATATTTATTCCACATAGTAAGCCATGTGGAACCTAGAGGTGCACGGAAAGATTTTTTTTTTCTTCAGATCTTAATTGGTTTTAAAACTAGTTTAGATTGGTCAACAAAGTCAAAACCAGATTTAGCTCAAGTTGGTTCAAATTAAAATCAGAATTGGATCAAAATAATCCGAACCTATATGAAAGGGTTGGGATCATATTGAAACCTGATTTGAAAAAAATTAAAAAAGTTCATTATAGTTTTGATATACGAAGTTACAAAAATAGAAATTGAAATACATGTTTAAGCTTAAAAACGTAAAACAAAAAAGTTTCTAAGTGACAATAGGCACCGTCATCGTCTTCATTTTGGTAGTCATGTTCGTCGTTTGTCAAAAGTTTGTTTGGAGTTAAGTATCCTCAAGGTTGTTGCATTTTTGAGGGGTGTGACCAAACTATTGTAAATCCAATACCTATATACACTAACAAATGAGCCTTTGTGACCAAACTATTGTAAAGTCCCCGTGCGGCATATCTTTCCGGTGGCTATTTTTCTCTTTTTTGTTTTGTTTTTTTAAATTGTTTAAAAAATTATTAATATGTATATATATCAAAAAATTATAAAAAAATAACAAAATTCACGGTGCCACTTCAAAAGTACGATTGTTTTCAAACCTTTTTTATACACAAACCTAATTCCGGCCCAGATATACGCTCGTTACTGGGCCTTGTCCAAAGCCCAAGTATGGTATTCTAAAAGGCGCGAATAACTCGATAACTGATTACAAAGTTCGGGGAGTTCGAATAGCGACATCAAAGACGAAGAAGATGGACGATTCAGGCGCGATTCTCTGTCAACTATCTGCACTAAAGGATATGCTTGATCAGGTTCAATATGAGTCGTTTGTTGTGTGTGTTTTTCTCTTCATCTGGAATTGATTATATAGGGTTTTATTGACGTAATTGCTGATTTAATTTTTACCTAGGTGAACGATGAAATAGAGGCGAACTTCCAAATCACGAGAGAGATTGAATCAGAAATTGTCAAGTGTTCTGAATTCGAGAGAGCTTTGGCATCTAGAGAGTCGGAGCTGATGAAGACCGTGTACATGCTTCAGTTTGAAATCAAAGGATTGATCGCTGTAAATGGTAAGACGAGGTTTTCTTTTATGTTTGTATATGTATGGGTTGTGATTTATTTGAATTACAGTTGAACTAAGTCTATGATCCATTTTTGATTTGATAAACACAAGAAACAAACAAAATGTAATCAAGGAACAAAACAAAAATCATTTGATATATTTCTGTTTAAAGAAATACTCTCTGAGGCTTTTCATGCTTCATGTTTTAGATGAATCAAGAGCAACAAGGGAATGCCTAGAGAAGGAGTTGTGTTGTTTAAGAATGAAGCGAGATGAGACACTTGAAGGAATGAACGACAAGAGGTATTTACTGAGTTCATCCCAAATTCTTATTGTGAAATTTCTTCATGAATTCTTTTATGCTGAGGAACTTTTATCTGAAAATTCTTGGCACTAACAATGTGTTAGAATCTATTTGAATCTTTTCTTGTTTGCTTTATACAGGGAAACATTTAGTACAATGTGTCTAGACTTTCAAAAGGAGATTAGTGAGGATGGAAACAATAAACTAGGCAAATTATTGTCTGAGAAAGAGTATCTTGAAAATGAGGTTCATCTTCTGAGGGGGAAAATTAATTCCTTGCAAACTTCAATGTCAGATTTTATTGATGAGATTCTTGAAGGTATCAATGCACATAATTCAGGTAATATTATCTTTCTTTCCTCTAAATTTGCCTATAAATTAGATAAATATTAACCCGAGTTTGGTTTTCTTGAATAATATGAGGTGGGGGCTGTTTAGCATTTTATTGCTAGCAAGATTACATTTTTGCATAGACAAGAGTGATTATGAGGAGAGATTAAATCTATGTAAACTTACATTCTTTTTTTTCATGAATAAAATTGTGATGATTTCGATTATAACTTTGATGGTTGTTGTAGATTTGTATTTATTACAAGGCCTATGATTTGTGTAGGAGTACTCATGTTACAAGTTGTTGTGAAATGCAGCTTTGGTTGTTGAGATAGAGAGTGGTAATCTTGAGAATGACAAATTGGTCAAAGATATAAATGAATTGAAGACTACAATGCTTGTAGCAATGTCACATTCACCATGAAACGAGGTAAAGTTACTATTGTTTTCTTAGTATTAGTGATGTTACTTATCGATATCTTAAACTTATATGATATACAAATATCAACATAAATATAAAAAAAGTAGAAGGTTATTATATGTAGAATAGTTCTATTTGATTATATGATAATTCGACATGACACAACGAAAAGTAATTTTTAGTTGCGAGCTTCATGATGGTTAAATAGTTCATTGTGAACCATTGCAAATCCTTTGAGCTTGCTATCAACCTATTGTGAATTTTGATTGTTTTCTAAATACAAAATAAATTTTGTTAAAAATTGTTTGTATATGATTCGACCTTTGATCTTTTTACATGTACAATTTGAGAGACAACTTATAGATGTGATTGTACAATGAAAACTACTAGTCACATACAATAAAAATTATAACATCTATTTAAAGTCAATGAAAATTGAGAATATAATTAAGTGGAAGACACTTCGTATAAGAATATGCAATATCAAAATCAAAAGTAGTACAATATAAGAAAAAAAAGTCGAATATGAAAGTAAATAAGGGTTCATCGAACATTTACATTTGTAGTATGTTACACAACGTTGTCTCGTGGCTAAAGATAACTAGGGGTGGGGAAAACCGGATACCCGAAAATTCGGATATCCGAAAATTTTTACATAAGATTTTAGTATCCGAATCCGTATCCGAATTTCGGATATCCGAAAATTCGGATATCCGAAATCCGGATACGGATTCGGATACCAAAATCATATATCCGAAATTTTTGTCTAATCTATTAAACAGTCAAAAAACTCAGTAAAGTAAAGATTAATCAAAAACTAATAAGCCATGCAACTTTAATATTACAAACCACAACAAATATTAGTTTTTAACTAGTTCTTACCAATAATTCAAAAGTTCAAACCGGATAAAAAATTACAAACCACATAACTTAAATATTAAAAGTTCAAAACTATCATATTCTTAACAGAAAACCAACAAATA